TAAAAGAATTTTTTCATTTACTTGTAGAATGTCTTTATAATAAATGTTTATGGTAAATGTGATGTCGTCAAAATAGCCGAAATATACATATATTATACATAATATTATACTTAGATCGGTTAGTACAGCGACAGTACCAAGTTATGTATAATACTATATATTTCGGCTATTTTAACGACATCATATTTTCCATAAAACGGTTATTATAACGACACTCCAAAAGCACATATAAAAATTCTTCTTTTAAATAGCTATATCATTAATCGAATATGCAAGCAATCAAAATATACAGAGGAGTAGATGTAACTGTGGCACGTCAAGTTTTTGAGATATAATAATTTAAAAATGCGAAAAAGGGCATTTTTATACACTTTTTAGTAAGATATTGTATAACTTTTAATTGAGATGTGATACAAATTTCTTCGACAGCTTAAAATAAAGCTTGAGACTGTAGTTTATGTAACAAATATGAAAAAGTTCGAATCTAAAGAGTTTATAAAAAAATTAACTATACCTCAAAGATTCTTTATATTGGTATAAGAAAAAGCGCGAAAAATAATATTTTCATGTTATGATTTACTTTTTATAAATTCTTTAGATTCGATTTTTTCATACTTGTTACATAAACTATAAATAGCAACTACCAATATATCAGCACGGGCTACATGTGCACCTTCTTTATATATCTTAATTGCTTGCATATTCGATGAATGACATAGCTATTCAAAAGAAGAATTTTTTTATTTACTTTTAGAATATCTTTACAATAACCGTTTTATGGAAAACATGATGTCATAATAGCCAAAATATAATGTATTATACATAATTTTGTACTTAGATTGGTTAGTACAGCGACAATACAAAATTATGTATAATACATTATATATTTCGGCTATTTTGACGACATCATATTTTCCATAAAACGGTTATTATAACGACACTCCAAAAGCACATATAGAAATTCTTCTTTTGAATAGCTATATCATTAATCGAATATGCAAGCAATCAAGATATACAGAGGAGTAGATGTAACTGTGGCATGTCAGGTTTTTGTGATATCTTAATTTGAAAATTTGAAAAAGGGCATTTATTACACGTTTGAATAAGATATAACTTTTAATTGAGATTGATACAAATTTCTTCGACAGCTTAAACTAAAGCTTAAGGCTAGTTAATGTAACAAATATGGAAACGGTCGAATCTAAAGACTTTATAAAAAAATTAACCGAACTTCAAAAACAGAGGATTCTATATATTAGTATAAGAAAAAGTGCAAAAAATAATATTTTTATCTTAAAATTTATTTTTTTTATAAACTCTATAAATTCAAACTTTTTCATATTTGTTACATAAACTACAAATACCAATATATCAGCACGGATTATATTTGCACCTTCTCTTCTATATATCTTGATTGCTTGCATATTCGGTAAATGATATAACTATTTAAAAGAATTTTTTCATTTACTTGTAGAATGTCTTTATAATAAATGTTTTATGGTAAATGTGATGTCGTCAAAATAGCCGAAATATACATATATTATACATAATATTATACTTAGATCGGTTAGTACAGCGACAGTACCAAGTTATGTATAATACATTATATATTTCGGCTATTTTAACGACATCATATTTTCCATAAAACGGTTATTATAACGACACTCCAAAAGCAAATAAAGAAATCCTTCTTTTAAATAGCTATATTATTCATCGAATATGCAAGCAATCAAGATATATAGAGGAGAAGGTACGAATGAAGCATGTCAAGTTTTTGAGATATAATAATTTAAAAATGCGAAAAAGGGCATTTTTTTACATTTTTTAGTAAGATATTGTATAACTTTTAATTGGGATGTGACACAAATTTCTTCGACGGCTTAAAATAAAGCTTGAGACTGTAGTTTATGTAACAAATATGAAAAAGTTCGAATTTATAGAGTTTATAAAAAAATTAACCATACCTCAAAAGATTCTTTATATTGGTATAAGAAAAAGTGGAAAAATAATATTTTCATGATATGATTTACTTTTTTTATAAATTCTTTAGATTCGATTTTTTTCATACTTGTTACATGAACTACAAATAGCAACTACCAATATATTAGCACGGGCTATATGTGCACCTTTTTTATATAACTTAATTGCTTGCATATTCGATGAATGACATAGCTATTCGAAAGAAGAATTTTTTATTTACTTTTGGAATATCTTTACAATAACTGTTTTATGGAAAACATGATGTCAAAATAGCCAAAATATAATGTATTATACATAATTTTGTACTTAAATTGGTTAGTACAGCGACAATACTAAATTATGTATAATACATTATATATTTCGGCTATTTTGACGACATCATATTTTCCGTAAAACGGTTATTATAACGACACTCCAAAAGCAAATATAGAAATTCTTCTTTTGAATAGCTATATCATTAATCGAATATGCAAGCAATCAAGATATACAGAGGAGTAGATGTAACTGTGGCATGTCAGGTTTTTAAGATATCTTAATTTGAAAATTCGAAAAAGGGCATTTATTACACGTTTCAATAAGATATAACTTTTAATTGGGATTGATACAAATTTTTTCGACAGTTTAAACTAAAGCTTAAGGCTAGTTTATGTAACAAATATGAAAACGGTCGAGTCTAAAGAGTTTATAAAAAAATTAACCGAACCTCAAAAGATTTTATATATTGGTATAAGAAAAAGTGCGAAAAGTAATATTTTCAAGGTTATGATTTATTTTTTTTTATGAACTTTTTAGATTTGAACTTTTTATATTTGATACATAAACTACAAATACTTACTATCAATATATCAGCACGGGCCACATTTGCATCTTCTCCTATATACAAGGTGGACCATTTTAATCAATCCTTTATCCTTTATCATTGCGTGGATTGGTTAAATGGTTCACCCTGTATATCTTGATTGCTTGTATATTCTATGAATGATATAGCTATTATATTTTTATTTATTTTTGGAGTGGCGTCATAATAACCGTTTTATGGAAAATATGATGTCGTTAAAATAGCCGAAATATATAATGTATTATACATAACTTGGTACTGTCGCTGTACTAACCGATCTATACTTAATTGCTTATACATTTGTACCAGTGCATTTTATCATGAAATTATAAGTAATGTATACGTCAGGGAGTCAATGTACTCTTATGTATACCATAAAATGTTTGATTTTTGATGTCGCCAAAATAGCCTATTGACATATATATATATATATATATACACAATATTGTATATCGTGTGAAGGAGCAATATCCCATAAACTTTAAATTGTTTCATACTAAAAACATACAGATTGTGATATTAAAACAGGGATGAACAGCGAGGTTATAATATCTGTCCTATCTGGAGTAGGCATTGTAAAAGAACGCTATGTAAGAATATTTTTATTTAAATAATAATTTATTATTTTCTACATTTTTCGTTCAAACGTTCTTCTATGCCTACTCCAGATGACAGATATACTAACCTTGCTGTCGTCCAAGAAGGAATCCATTACTAATTGTAAGCATGAGAATATTTTAAGCGAGAGCTAATATTAAAGTCTCCGCTAACAGAATCTTGTGATATGTAATAGAATGCATAACATTCATTGATCTTTGGATTTTTTTTGGAAGTCAGTGCTTTACTGTCAATAAATAATGTATACATAATGCCATTTATTATTTACTGCAAGCAATAAAAATAAAGTTTAATTTAATATGTCACTTACAAAGAGCACAATTATATATGATTACATATATTGCATTTTACGTAATTCATAAAATTATATTTTATTTTTATCTTATATAATTGGTAGTGAATGATCTACACATATAATGTAAAGATTGTTATACATATTTTATTTTTGTGTTATATGTTTACAAATGAATTACACAACTCACAGACCATTATAACAGTTATTCTTTTCAAGATTGTAAGTGTTTCTTCTGAGAAATTGTACATTTTTTGTGTTAAAACTGCTGTAGCTGTATACATATCATTTCACAATAGTTTATATTTGTTTCTTATTTCTTAAGTATTAATATATAGCAATTTTATATATGTGTATAATATTCAACATATAATGTGCATCATAGTTATTTTAATAGTTACAGTACAAAAATGTGAATAAATGTTAAAAACATTTAGTATTTGAGAACAATAACAAATGCATTGTGATATTTATATTTAATGTTATAACATGTTATAGTAATTTTTATGATGGATCACATGCCACATTCATTTTTATCATTTCTTAGTATTGTTTGCACTACAATATTACTCTTATAAACCTAAGATTATGTTTGAAATATATGACATAAAACTAAACATATTGTATGTTCCTTATATAAATATTTTGCATTCTTCAAGGAAATAATAACAGTATCTATATGATTAGTAATATTAATAATATAAATCACAGTATCGATCTTATACTTAGTTGTATTATATTATAGTTGTAAAATATTTGTAATTTGACAATTGCACTTAAGACGCTAAAAATAATATAGTTTTTACGTTTTCAAAATTAAAATCAATTACTAATCAAAATTAAAATCAATTACTAATAAAAATTAAATAATATTTTCTAGCATTTTATAATACTACATTCTCAAACGAAATAATAACATTATTAGTTTCTTTAATAGTATTAATATTATGGAAGACTGTATTAGTTCCATTATTGCAAAAAATAAGAAAATAATAGTATCGATATCATTAATAATGTTAATAATATAAATCACAGTATCATTCTCATAGTTGTAAAATATTTGTAATTTCACAATTGCACTTAAGACGCTAAAAATAATATAGTTCTTACATTTTCAAAATTAAAATCAATTACTAATAAAAATTAAATATTTTTTAGCATTTTATAATACTGCATTCTCAAAGGAAATAAGAACATTATTAGTTTCTTTAATAGTATTAATATAGTATTCTTTAATATATATACTATGAAAGATAAACTAAATTAGTTCCATTATTGCAAAAAATTTGTACTTTTATAATTGCACTCTTATTTGTATTCTTATTAAGATGCTGAATATACTTCTTACGCTTCCTAAATTAAAATCTTAATTATCAATATCTTAGCATTTCGTAATAAAGTAATTTGTACGAATCTAGTAATCTAGTAATCTTTCGCTATTTACATTGTTAAAACAACATAAAAACAGAATTACTTTTAAACAATATAAAAAAATAGAAAAGATCCTTGTGAACGTTATTAGAACGTATTCTTTAGAATATTCGCATTGAACTTATGACAACCCTGCAATACATAAAAATTGAAATAATGAAAATATTTGAAAGCTTTCATCCTTCTAAAAAGAAAACTAAACATTTTATATCTTGCTTGTTACAATCTTCAAATATGTATTTTAATTTTTAAAGTATTTGTAATTATTAACATAATAAATACTTACGATGTCGTATAGTTTTCTGTTGATTATGAAGCCACGTTTTTATCTGCGGCGAAGTGCGTTTAGCAAGCAATGTATATTTTTTTTTACTATTTGAATATCTTTTAAAGATGGTAATTTCAGTTTCTCCATATATTTAGAAAATGCCTGTAATGCTGTTTCCTTTTCTTCCTTAGACCAACGAATTCTTTTAGTTTTCCCATAAGGAGATGCTAAATGAGAAGTTAATAACATTAATTATATGTAACATTAATTATATATAACAATGCTTTTAAAATATCTAATAAATTAATGGAAAATACTCACTAGATCGTTTGCGTTTACTATTATTTTGCTCGTCCTGAATGTTGCTATTATCAGAAATGTTTAAATTATCAGAAATATTTAAATTATCAGAAATATTTAAATTATCAGAAATGTTTAAATTATCTGAAATAAATAATGTATGTTACATTAAAATAGATATAAGTAATAGTATAAAAGTACATATAAAGAAAATATAAAATATAAGTTTAAGAATGCAAAAGGGAAATATAGAAAAAATTACTTGTAGATTTATCTTCTTTTTCTGCTGTATCATTGTTAATACAGCTATTCTCTTTTAATACGTCATCATTTTCGGAATTGTTATCTGTTGAATCCGCTTCCGAATTATTTGTATTACCTTGTACTGCTTCCAAGTATTGTGATATTTTTAATATGTCTCTACTAGCCAGTGGTTGCCTATAATGATCCTTGTGAATTTTATCGGAATGGCCCATAAACATAGCCAGATCCGAAATATCGATATCGTTTAGATTTAATTGGATGCAATATGTAGCCACGTGCTTTCTTAGTATTGTACCACGCAAAGTGGAAGATTGATTGGCATTACACTTTTCTGCAAATTTTCGTAGTAACGCGCATGCTCTGAGATACTTATACCTTTCTTTATTATTTCCAGGCAATCCAAAAACATATGGATTTTTTTCTGATACTCCAGCTTGTTTCCGAAACTTTAAAATTAAAGTAATGCTTTGAAATAAATCGTTTGATAACAGAACAGGGACTGTACGTCCTAATTTGCCTCTTATGCAAAATCTTACATATTTTTGAGCAATTTTCTTATTTTCTGTAGATAACGATTGATACATGTCACTATGCATATTTTTATTTAATTTTTCATAGCTGTTGAAGTCCTCTATCAAAATTCTTTCAATTTCTCCTGCTCGACTTCTATTGAACACATGTATGGAAGTTAATGTTGCCTCAGCCAAAGAAATCCAGTGGCAATAAGAGAACGATTGGTATAGTTCCTTGTAAGCATCAGATCGTTTTTCTTCTAAATGACTGTATAATTTTCGAATATCTTCTAATGTTGGAAGATTAATTTTTTTACGCCTTTTGTGAGCCGTTTGTGTTTCTACAACAGTTGTATTGATGCTTGTTCCGACATCTACGACTAGTAATTTTAAAAAATCCTTGACTTGTCTTTTTTTTTCGACATTTTCCTTTTTTATACACTCTATAATAAGGATATTTCCAATATGTTTCAATAACGTTGACAAATTTGCTGCTACTGCAGGCGTTTCATACATTTTTGTTTCAGAATTATATTTTGCAACTTTATTAATTGCACATATGCAGTCATCATATACCTTGGGATTATAAATGGATTCAAAGCTTTCGATATTTTCATTTATATCTTTCATCGCCAAGAAGAGACGACCGAGAAGACGTAATTGAGCACGAATCATATCGTGGTGATGTTGCGACTTATACTTCATACACAATTTATTTCCATATAAAATCAACAATTCATCATATCTTATAGCACGAATCACTTCATCTTCCCGCAGGATTGGAAAAACTGTTTTCCTTAAAAGTTCACTTGCGGATGAATGTAATCTACATGTGATCTTTCTACCCATCACCATAATACATTTATTTTTTGTAAATTTTGTTCCAAAACAACTTCGAGAATGATGGCGAATTGTATTTTTTGAAAAAAAGCCCTTGCATTTGGCGCAAGCAATAAAATTGTTAGCGGCCTTTTTATATTTTTCGTTAGGACGCCGACATACTATGAGTTGTCCATTATTTAATTCGGAGTTTGTATTAAATTTGAAATTGCCATTTTTCGTAGCGTATCAATAATTTTTCTTCGTTCAGGATTTCTTTTAGGTAAAGCAGCAAATTTTTTTACATCTGACTCATTGCGATGTACTTTTTCTAAATGTCGCACTAATTGTGTCTGTAACTTTGAGCAGAATATGCAATAATTTTGCTTAATATTTTTTGCATTTGAAGTTTCTACATGCATCTTTTCGTCATCACATATTGATGTGCCATTATTCATTTTTGTGGCATCTAAACTGGATATTGAAGCCATGCTTGCTATTGATTTTTGTATTTGTTGCGTTTCATCATCGTCATTATTATTTGAATTTTGATCATCTTCTGACGGTAAATACTCTGATCCACTTTCTTCATTCTCAACATCTAAAAAGCATGATATATGTATATGTATAGATATTCATTAAGAGGATGCTAGTTCTATTTTATCAACCGAAAAGTAAGAGTAGATTTGACTAAAAATCTATTTATTGACTAATACAGATTGTTTTATTATCTGAAATATAGCTAGCGCGATTTATTAATATTAATACTTTAATGTGGCAAAAGAATTTATCAATCTGTTAACTTTATAGTTAATCAAAATTTATTTACAAGTAATATATACTACTTATTTGTAAATATAATTATATCGAGCATGAATGATATCATGGTGATTTTGCGACTTATACTTCATGTACAATTTATTTCCATATAAAATCAACAGTTCATCATATCTTATTATGATGAACTGTTGATTTTATATGGAAATAAATTGTACATGAAGTATAAGTCGCAAAATCACCATGATATCATTCATGCTCGATATAATTATATTTACAAATAAGTAATATATATTACTTGTAAATAAATTTTGATTAACTATAAAGTTAACAGATTGATAAATTCTTTTGCCACATTAAAGTATTAATATTAATAAATCGCGCTAGCTATATTTCAGGTAATAAAACAATCTGTATTAGTCAATAAATACACAAATACAGTTTTTAACACAAAGAGATACTACAAAATATTGAAACATTAACATTTCCTTTAAAGATAGAGTCGATTATATACATATTATAAACGGTAGCTAAACTTACCAAAAGATGTTAAAAGATCAGTAATTTGATTGTCGCAGTTTGTCTTTCTTGCTTTTGTTTTGTCCTGATTTCCATTTTCGTCGATGGATATAATCGGTTTGTCAATATCTAATGTAATAACCATAAAGAAATGCATGTTACAATAGTATATATGATAATAGTATATTATAGTAGTATAATATATAGCAACTGAACAGACTGTGATAATACTAGCTTAACACACTTATAAAATCTATGATCGAAATGTTTTCAGTTTTATGTATTGCGTTTCTAGATATCAACTCAATATGACTTCTGCTTATTTAAGAAGACCTTAATATTTAAGATATTATTAGATTTTAATGTTTTATATTATTGACACAATTAATATTTACAAAAACAGATGTAAAAACAGAATATTTATAGAATATTGATCCATTTCTGTGAAAGATAAGTACTCGTGACCTACTAATATAGAAATACAATACATAAAGACAAGATAATTTCTAATGATTATAAATCTAGTATAAATACAAAAAACTTGAATGTACCAATAATAAATAAACCTATTGCATATATACTAGTTTATAAACTAATATTGATAAATATTGTGTATATTCACCGTTATGTAAAAAATAATCTGTTTTACTATCACAATCTCTACATGGAAAAGTATTAATGTTCTTCCCATTTTCATCGAAAATGAGTATCGTGTTATCTGAAAAAGATACATTTCATACATATGATGCTTACATATACGAGACCCATATAGTAGATAAATAAGTTTACCCAAATATGTTGGGAAATTAGCAATCTGATTGCCACAGTTTTCCTTTCTTGCTTCTGTTTTATCCTGGTTTCCTACCTTTGGTTTCTTACCTAATGTAATAATAAAATAATAATATTCATTAAACGATTCGTAAAATGTATCTAAATTGTTTCGTGATGCACTATACAGCATGTAATGCTTATAAAAGGCAAAATAATATAAAATAGTTAATAATATTACTTACCACTAAATATTATATTATCTTTTGTTTTGTTACCAGAATTTTCGCTTATTCTATCTTCAGTCTTATTATCAGAATTTTCGCTTATTCTATCTTCAGTCTTATTATCACAGCTTTTATTTATTTTATTAGTCTTTTCTTTTCTATTTCCATTGCCAAATTTAACTTTTTCACACAATATATGTGGTACATTTTGTAATATATTTTCTTTTAATTCTAACAACATATTTTTATCATCTATAATAATAAGAAAAGTTTGTTTATAATAATAAGAAAATTCTGTCTGTAATATAACACAATACAAAATATTTAACTTACTATTTTTTGCTATAATACTTGCTACATATTTGTGCCCATCACAGTATTTAGCTTTCGTAATACCTTTATACTTAGTAATGTTTTTTGAGTTGGATACGTAATAAATGCCATCTTCATCATATCGCACTAATGCATACATTGTTCACTTTAATTTTCAGTATATATCACTTTACCGGATCGTTGAGTGTGATTAAAATAAATGAATCTTGTTCTAAATTAGAGATCGTTACTTTTCCGCCTTCATCTTAATAGTTATTAAGGCTGAACTCTCACTGCGAATATTGAAAATCTAGGTGAATATCGCAATGCATCTTAAAGCGGCGGTTACAATGATTTTAAGCCTCAAAGCCTAAAGCCCATATCAGGCTAACGGCATATCAAGCGCAGAAAATGCTTCGCTGTGATTGGCCAGATGTGTAAATAGAAAAAAGTTGATTAATTAAAAATTTATTAATTTATGTTAAAAATACCCTTTCTTATTGCCTATATAAACTATGAAAACATAACATCAACAATACTCACTTTTAATTAAATGTATCTTACACATATATCCATTTATTTCATGTTGCTAGAAAAGTATATTAGCAAAGATTGCTTATACAACGTGATATCGTAAGAAAGAGTAATATTCCGTAAACTTCCAAAAGTTTGATACTAGAACACACTAAATATGATATTAAATCATAAATCAGAAGCGAACGCGAGGTTAGGATATCTATCACATCTGGAGTAAGCATTCTAGATGAACGCTCTGTTACAATATTTCTATTATTTAAATAATGAAATATTATTTATATAAAAATAAAGAAAATAATAAATTATTTAAATAAAAACATTCTTACAGTGTTTTTCTACAATTTCTACTCCATATATGAAAGATATCCTAACCTTGCGCTCGTTCCTGTTTTAATATTATATTTTGTGTTTTCAGTATTCAAACATTTGGAAATTTACGGAATTTGCTCCTTTTCTTACGAATAACGTTGGATAAGCAATCTTACCTAATATATGCGATTATTTTAGCAACATAAGATAAGTAGATGTATATGCATATTTAATTAAAGATGAGTGTATTGTTGTTATATTTTCATAATTGAGGTAACAATAAAGAGTATTTAACATAAATTAATAATTTTTTAATTAATTTTTTTGTATTTGCAGTAAACTCTTTGATAGAAATAATGCATGCTGTGTGCTACATATACAAGTGCTGGGATAAATAGTGTAACTACAGCAACAGTGAAATATTTTTATTTTGTTTTCTAATTGTTTGTCAAGTCCAAGAGAAGCCTGAGTTATTATGAATGATTATACGCGTAAGATTGCAATTCAAAAGATATCTTCTGGTCACGCTGCTTATTAATATTGTATTATGTTTATTTCTATTTTAGCAGAAGACAGTGTGATAGATAAATAATAATTTGCACAGATCCAAAATGCACCGAGTCTCAAGAGGGAATCCATTACAAACCATGAGTATCTGTTAAGCGAGAGCTTAATATTATAGTCTCCGCTAATAGAATTATGTAATGGAATGATCAACACCCATTCATTCATCTGTAGAAATTCTTGAAGTATTAATGATTTTATATTGTTGACGATTAGAAGACAACTTGTATTGTTATTCAGTGAATATGTCAGAAAAGATAGTGCTTAACATATCATATTTAAAGATAGCATATTGCATTATATATATTACATGTATCTTATGTACATTCATGTAAAAATCTGTTAATTTTTTATTTTTAATTTATTTATTAAATTTACATTTATATTGGACAATATGTTTATACATATAACTTTCTGGAGAATGTATCTGTATCGTTATAATTATATTTGTAAAAATTATATTTAAGGATTTATATGTATATATACTATCTCACATAATGCATATCTTAAAATATGGTGTTAGAATAATCTGGATTAAAATATATCCTTATAATTGCATATCAATATGTTTCGTATATGTTGCCTGTAAACAATTAAGAATTGTACTATTCTATTTTGCAAATAAAATCTCACATATGTCGGGGCATTGTGAAATAAGTGCTAGAAATAATTGATGGTGTCTCTGCAATACCAGTTTTGCAATACCTATTGTGCAACTACCATACGAATAAATATTTGCAAACATTGTGTTTCTTGATTGTTTATGAAACTGTTTAAAGAAGCCTAAATTATACTTTGATTGCTTGCATATTAGATGAATGATGGTTATTCAAAAAAAGAATTTCTTTATTTACTTTTGGAGTGTCGTCATAATAACCGTTTTATGGAAAATATGGTGTCGTCAAAATAGCCAGCGTATAAATGTACTATACATAATTTTGTACTGTCGCTGTACTAACCGATCTATACTTAATTGCTTATACATTTGTACCAGTGCATTTTATCATAAAATTATAAGTAATGTATACGTCAGGGAGTCAATGTACTCTTATGTATACCATAAAATGTTTGATTTTTGATGTCGCCAAAATAGCCTATTGACATATATATATATATATATATATATATATATATATTCTGCTATACATTTTTTGTAATTTCACATTTATCCGATTTATGTTATATGATATATTGTTTTTCTTTCCTTCTCTTACTGTAATAAATCGGAATTAATTTATATCACACTTTCGCGTCTCTATTTTCTTTTGTCTCGTTGTGATGTCACGCCTCATTACCGGGTAATCCATGTATGATTAATTTCGCGTGTACTTTGAGTAAACTATTTATTCTTTCTCTCGCGGCAACCACAACCTGCCCTTCTGCCATTAGGTGAGCCGGCTTGTCGCGGAACTTCCGGCCGGATTGTTGTGTAATTTCGTGTGTCGCGAATTGACACGTGCAAGACCGTGTCTGGCGCCCTAAATTCAAGTAATTTTGCGTATCCATCGGCTGGTATTTTGCTGCGGTACGCGCGGAGCGGCCACGTTTCTAGTTTTCGCGTAATATCTTTCATAAAGAACTGTGACGTGACGCCTTGGAGCGCCGTCACAAGGGCAAAAGCCTGACCGGGTAGGCTCCGAGGAACTGAGGTCACCCCTCACATTGGGGAAAGGGCGATAGCCCCTGGCATTATATTTGTTGCGAAAAGCGCCTGTGAGTGCAGCCTCGGCTTGTCGAGACGCACCTACCGTAATATTCTTTAGGAACACGGCGATAGCGGCGGCCCGAGGAGAAGGCAGGAGATTTCTCTGTGCAGCAAAAGAGAAGAAGAAGGCACGCATATGGAGGACTACCGCGAGAGAGAGAGAGAGAGAGAGAGAGAAGGGGGGAGATGGAGACCAGAAAAGAGTACAGCGTCCAAGAGGAATCCCGCTATTCAGAGGTAACCTCTTGCCGGAAGTCCAGGGCAAGTATCGCGTTCCCGCCGATCACGTCATCCCTAGTAATACGTAAGATAGTGATACGTAAGAGACTGATACCGCCTGCTTTCAGCATCATCATACAAAGTCGGCATCGGATCTAGACGGGAATCCATGCTACAGACTGGGAAACGGACCCGTGGATTTATCGGAACAACGCGGGGAAGTTTGGAAAAAGGCCGCCGCATGCCACGACCTGTGAGACGACCACCCGATTACCGCAGCAATTACAAGGGGGATCACGATAAAGGATCGATGGACGGTTTGACGCACCCCCCCACCCTTCGTCAGCCAAATATTAAGGGGATACGCAAGGAATCGGCGCGGGACGTGAAGGACCTCGCGACGATCCCGGCAAGGATCACTACGGCACGCCGTCAATAAGAGAGGACGACCAATCCCGCAGCCAGATACCGGCAAAAAAGAAGCAACTGTAAGCCACCACTCAGATAAGTCTTAACGATAAGAGCGAGATGGGCTGGGATCGGTACGCGAAATGGCTTGTTACCTTTGTAAGATTAGTTACCGTTTTATGAAGAGAGTCTCTCCTCTCATAGAATCTTAGTTACGCGAGACCCGCCTATCTCGTAAACCGCGAATGTATCCCTCCCGGGGAAACCCGACAGTCGTATCGTTTATTGTATCGTTTATCGTTTTGTCTCGTTTCGTGTGAAAACGCGTAAATGGTAGAGAATCAGAATTTGCGTGTAGGCGCTCTCCGCGAGTCAAATATCATGTATTAGGATATACTTTGCGAGAGTCGCCCGGGATTTGCGAAATAGCCGTGTAATTTTGCGATACCGTTCGGAGATTGATATTGTCTAATTTTGAGTTACCGAAATATTATACGGCTTACGAAAATTATATAGTATTGTTACCTTTGCATATTCGGGCAAGAAAATATATGTAACGTATGTTTTCGTATTATTTGAACGATTATTTATTGAGTATCGGCATCCTTGTCTGACGTGTCTATTGTTCCGCGTGCACGCCGCATTCCGATTTGATCACGTGTTTCGCACGCACCGCGAGGACGTTCGGCCGTGTTTATGTCGCGAAAGATATCGGACTTATACAAAAATTTTGTGAGGTCTACGGGAAATGTCCCTAGGGGTAAATTCATAAAGTATCGTTCTCACGTCCCGTGTTATATCGACGTTTATGTATTATTTGGATCTAATTTTTGTCTATATATATTATATTATTCATAATACCTTTCGATAATACCGGTCCGTAATTATAGAATAACTGTTGTTAACCAATTCTGTATATGTAATTGTCTACTTATCATCAAATACATTGTTAACTATTTTATTAACCCAACCTCTGTGTTCTATTTAATAAAATCTCTCCAGACTCTTAAAAATCAAAAACTGTAAACCGCGCCCCTCTGCAAAATACTGAGCAGGGCATAGCCGGTAAATTTACGTTTTTTGTGAAGAATCTTGATGCCGTGGAGCGCGAAATCGGGCCTGGCGCTCAAATCTTTCGAATTGTTGTACTACTTTATTTTTAATACCGTTAAGTTTATTTTAGCTATGATGTCTGGATACTGCACTATTTAATATATAACTCTGATATCACCAATCGGGTATTCGTCACCCGATTGTAATTCGGCGTTTTCTTCCTTCGAGCTCGGCGTGCTCGAGGGTAGCGAATTAATGTCGCAACCTTATAATGCGTTTTGCTTCGTATATTATTAGTGTAAACTACCGCGACGTAGTGATATTATAATTTCAACGTAGTGATATTATAATTTATTTATTAAATAAATCTATTTATTAAATAAATTATAAATCTATTCTGAAATATGTTAATATATAAAAGTATCTGTACCTAAGTATATTTAAGGTACATTCAAGATACCTATACCTAGGTATTTTATTTTTCTAATACCTGTGCCTATACCTCGATACTTTCTTTCCAAAGTATAATACCTGTACGTTGATACTAAAATTAAAATACTTTACAAACAACACTGCTTGTCGTAATCCCTGACATATAAATACATGTCGACATTTATTTGACGA